TGTGTGTATACATTGTTAATACTCTGTACTACAGTGTAAACACTGTAAATACATTACAATGTAACTGTGTGTATACATTGTTAATACTCTGTATTACAGTGTAAACACATTACAATGTAACTATGTGTGTATACATTGTTAATACTCTGTATTACAGTGTAAATACTGTAAATACATTACAATGTAACTATGTGTATATACATTGTTAATACTCTGTACTACAGTGTGAACACTGTAAATACATTACAATGTAACTATGTGTGTATACATTGTTAATACTCTGTACTACAGTGTAAACACTGTAAATACATTACAATGTAATTGTGTATGCTCTGCACTATAACTTATACAGTATAATATACTACCATCCATTTGTGTACCAAATAATATGTCTTCGTACTCAAATGTCACTTAGATCGGTTTGAAAATTTACTAGTCTAATGCAGGTGCTTTTATAATCAGATTTTGAATTTCTGTTGGAAGTATTCATGTCAATAAGAACAATTTTACAAAGTTCCTTGATTTTTGTGTTGACAAAACATTTTTTTAGATGTGGTGATCCAATTGAAAGCATGTAACAAACTTGATATGTATTTCAGGATAAAAAATGTTATGAATGATGAAATATTAAAATAACAAAGCAAACAAACACACATTTCAATTTAAAGTTAGCAATCAGCAGTAAACATCAATTTTCACTTTTAAAAACTCATTATTGCTTTCTATTGCAACAACAGTGACCTTTATCATAAAAATGATGTTATACAACATATCACACTCAAGATATAGCAATATCAACTGTTTACAAAATGAATTTGGTAGCTATACAATAAACTGTCCACGCATCAATATCCTTCCCTACTAACAAAAGCTCCATACAAGTTTCTATCAAAATCCTTACCTACTAACACAAGCTCCATACATGTTTCCATCAATGTCCTTACCTATTAAGACAAGCTCCATACATGTTTCCATCAATATCCTTACCTACTAACACAAGCTCCATACATGTTTCCATCAATATCCTTACCTACTAACACAAGCTCCATACATGTTTCCATCAATAGTGTTCCTACCTAACACAAGCTCCATACATGTTTCCATCAATAGTGTTCCTACCTAACACAAGCTCCATACATGTTTCCATCAATATCCTTACCTACTAACACAAGCTCCATACATGTTTCCATTAATATCCTTCCCTACTAACACAAGCTCCATACATGTTTCCATCACACAAGCTCCATACATGTTTCCATCAATATCCTTACCTACTAACACAAGCTCCATACATGTTTCCATCAATATCCTTACCTACTAACACAAGCTCCATACATGTTTCTATCAAAATCCTTACCTACTAACACAAGCTCCATACATGTTTCCATCAATATCCTTACCTACTAACACAAGCTCCATACATGTTTCCATCAATATCCTTACCTACTAACACAAGCTCCATACATGTTTCCATCAGTATCCTTACCTACTAACACAAGCTCCATACATGTTTCCATCAATATCCTTACCTACTAACACAAGCTCCATACATGTTTCCATCAATATCCTTCCCTACTAACACAAGCTCCATACATGTTTCCATCAATAGTCTTCCTACCTAACACAAGCTCCATACATGTTTCCATCAATATCCTTACCTACTAACACAAGCTCCATACATGTTTCCATCAATATCCTTACCTACTAACACAAGCTCCATACATGTTTCCATCAATATCCTTACCTACTAACACAAGCTCCATACATGTTTCCATCAATAGTCTTCCTACCTAACACAAGCTCCATACATGTTTCCATCAATATCCTTACCTACTAACACAAGCTCCATACATGTTTCCATCAATAGTCTTCCTACCTAACACAAGCTCCATACATGTTTCCATCAATAGTCTTCCTACCTAACACAAGCTCCATACATGTTTCCATCAATATCCTTACCTACTAACACAAGCTCCATACATGTTTCCATCAATATCCTTCCCTACTAACACAAGCTCCATACATGTTTCCATCAATAGTCTTCCTACCTAACACAAGCTCCATACATGTTTCCATCAATATCCTTCCCTACTAACACAAGCTCCATACATGTTTCCATTAATATCCTTCCCTACTAACACAAGCTCCATACATGTTTCCATCAATAGTCTTCCTACCTAACACAAGCTCCATACATGTTTCCATCAATATCCTTCCCTACTAACACAAGCTCCATACATGTTTCCATCAATAGTCTTCCTACCTAACACAAGCTCCATACATGTTTCCATCAATAGTCTTCCTACCTAACACAAGCTCCATACATGTTTCCATCAATAGTCTTCCTACCTAACACAAGCTCCATACATGTTTCCATCAGTATACTCACAATGCCCCTTACCATTGTATTCTTTAATTTACACATCTAACCTTATCAGTTTACCAATACAAAAGCTGCAGCAACTATCAGTATCTTTAGCCAATGCTGACCAAAACAATTATATGCCATGGTTTGAGTAGAACTACACAAAAAAGAAGCTTGGAAATAATAAGCAAGAGGCTGAAGGGCCTTACCAGTCACCAGTAGCAATGCTTCTTGAAACATGTCATAGAAATAATCTTGTTAAAACACCAAGATAGCTTGAACTATATCGTACATGTAATACACATGTAAACTCTGCATAACATGATCTCTGTACTATAAGTCTTCTAACCAAATTTCAATGAAAAGAAATTACACCCACAAATGTCGTGTTCTTATATGAACTATTCCTACCATGAAGTCTTTAACAGACTTATCATACCTGGGTATTGCGAAGATCTTTCAAATTTGAGTCACCCTTAGGGTCAGCCTGGATAAATAAGTGCCTAGTGTCAAATTGTCATCTTATACTTGAACAAAGTTTGAACAATTTCTAAAAGAAAATAAACAAATTATGCTCAAAAATGTAAATTTGTTATATAAACTGTAATAATGTTCACCCCCTTCCAAAGGAGAAATGCGAGACCTTGGGGTTACAAAATTTACGATTTGGTTTAAGCACCTTAAGACATGCTCATCCAAAAAGAGTGTTTGGCTATGGTTTAAGAAATCTTAACCAATTTGACCCATTTTTGACCCCTACCAATCAGCCCCTCAGGTTAACCGAAGTCAATATTTGCATATCATTTGAACAAAGTTTGAACTACTTCCAAAGGAAAATAAACAAGTTATGCTCAAAAATGTAATTTCCTATATCAACCATAGTAAAATTTACAATTTTTGTAAAGCATCTGAAGGCCTTTCCCCCCCATGATGAGTATTTGATTCTACCATACCTGGGTATGAGAAGATTTTTAAAGCATCCATCAATTTGACCTTTTTTGGCTATGCTCCTCAGGGTCATGGGGGTGAGAACCCTATAGTTAACAATCAGGTATACCTTTGGTCATCAAAGGTTTCTTCAAAATTCATTGAAATCAGTTAAGGAGTTTTCCTAGAGATGTCGAAAGTGTTAAAAGTTTCGGACACATGATGCCGGACAAAAGGCAATTACAATAGGCTACCGAGGAACTTTGTCTCCGACTTAAAAAACCATAAAATGGTACTAAAAACATTTGTTTATCTATATTCTTGTTCTGATTAAGTAGATGCCCAAATTAAATTGGTCCAATAGGACGAACAAATTCTCAAGTCCAAAATGAATCATATACTACTAAACTGCTGTTCAAAACATTTTTTGGCATTCCTATGATCCCATTTGCCCAAGGTTGAACTGAAGCTACTTTTCCATATGTTTCCATGCCAATAAAAAAAACACCAATACCCAAAACCAGCAGAGAAAAGCAGGATAACTACTAACAACAAATTTAATGGATGAGGTAAAACTTCTGACTCAAACTCAGTACATCACGACTAAAACATGGTACATCTTCAAGTAGGTTCTAACAATTGAATAAGAGATCCCAGAGGAATCTTAGCACCCACCATTATCTTTATGATCTTATTGGAAAGATTTGAAAGTTGGATCTTTTCTCTTCTTATCTCTTTGCTCTTAATGTTAAGAATTTTAAAAGTTCTTTTGCAGCAACAGGGATGATAATCTTTAACTGTCAAATGAAAGAAAAATCACCTCGAAGCCATTTTGTTTTTCTAATCACTCCCAAAATTAAACGGGCAGAACATTGGAATAAGGGGAACTTGAGAGAGATCCATTCCATACATCTTAAGAAAAGTGATAACAAACTTTACCAGGTGATGGCCACCTGTCTGCAATTTTGTTCTATTTTTCTGATCAATCCCAAAAGTCATACAAGCACAACTAGGGACCAAGGGGAACTTAGAAATGAAATTTGAGAAAGATCTATGCAAAAGTTCTTAAGAAATAACAATTACAATCTTTCAAAGGCTGAAATCCAAGACAGCCACCTGTCCGCCATTTTTTTAACAGTCCAAAAATCAAAAGGGCACAACTAGGAACCAAGGGGAACATACATAAGAAATTTGAGAGATTCATTCTTAACTTCTCAAGAAATAGTGATAACAAAAATCCAAAGTAAAAATCATTTGAGAGAGATCAGTCTTGTATTTCAAGAAATAGCAATAACAAACTTCTTTATAAAAATCCAAGATGGCTGCCTGTAGGCCATTTTGTTTTCTGATCAGTCCCAAAATCAAACTGGCACAACTAGGGACCAAGGAGAACCAACATTTGAAATTTGAGAAAGATCCATCCAGTCCTTATTGATAGCGATAACAAATATTGTTTACAGACAGACAGATTGACGGACCATGGCGCAGAGCGATTTGAATATGAATAGCCCATCCTCAACTATCAGGCTAAAAATGAAGATTTTCCAGCAACCGTTGTTGATCATAATGTTGATCAAATATACATTTACACAAAAAAACATGAGAATCCTGAACCAGAAACCCCATACGTGGAAGACTAAAGATGCGGTAGACAGTTTAGAGAATAGCTACAGAAGGTTTTGGTTTGACTATTGAATATATAACATACCTAGGTTTGGATTGGTGTAGTCCCAGCTGTATTCAGGGTCATTTCTCACAACATTCAGCTTAGTAGGCTGTAACAACACAAATCAAAATAAAATTTTAATAGCAAGAATTTTAATTTCAGATATTCAACAACACTCACCCAACTTTATAGGTTGTAACATGATTGCATTACCAATGCTTTATTATACAGGATACATATACACCAGCAAATAAGAGGCCCATGTGACATGTACCACTCAACTTGATAAGATAAATTCTAAACGTTGATATCTATTTCCCCAAGGGTCTCAATCTTTCTGCCCAAAAGAGAGACAACCAAATCATTTATCCAAAAGTTACTTTCATCCATTACAGACCCATTTTGGGACAGAATGTTGCCATTTCTACAACAGACAAATTTGACCTGTTTTCCCCTTAGAACCCTGCCAGTAAACCAAGACCCACTGTGTATTCAAAATTTCAGCGAGATTCATCCTGTATTTCTCAAGAAATAGTATTAACAAAAATTGTTTATGGAAAGACGGACCATGGACATAGACTGATTTGAATAGCCCACCATCTGATGACAAGAAATAGATTGACTTTTCTGATGGTCCCCCACCCTCCCTTTCTCAGAGGGCTAAAACCAACCATTTATACAAAACTGATTTCCCTTCTACCTAGCATGCTTTAGACTGAATTTTAACAATATGCTACAAATTCTAGAGGAATAACACTGATTTTAATGAAATTGATTCCCCAAATCAACCATAATGCTTCACAATCACACAAACTTTTGTCACTTACAGCTAAACAGTTCCACAACAATACAAGTCACTGAAAGCCTTGCAGTCACATACTAACCCTTGTTACCCAAATCTTTATAGACACACATCATTTCAACGTTAGTTACAGTCACGCACCAACCTCAGTCACTCACAGCTATTGTTACTGTCACACCTCAACCTCAGTCACTCATTCTTTGATACTGTCCTATCTCAACCTGAGTCACAGCCTTCAGTCGCAGACCAACCTTAGTCAGTCTTCAGTCACACACTAACCTAAGTCATACCAGTCTTAAAAGTCCAACATCAATCTTGGTGACTTGTAGTTTTACAGTCACAAATCTACCTTAGTCTTATAGCCATATAGTTATACAGCAAACTTATTCACATCCTCATATTTACACACTCACCCTTGCTACTCATAACCTTACAGTCACAATCATATCCTTACAGTCACAACCATATCCTTACAGTCACAATCATATCCTTACAGTACCAACCATATCCTTACAGTCACAATCATATCCTTACAGTCACAACCATATCCTTACAGTCACAACCATAACCCTACAGTCATAACCATAACCTTACAGTCACAATCATAACAATACAGTCACAACCATATCCTTAGTCACAATCATAACCTTACAGTCACAATCATATCCTTACAGTCACAACCATAACCCTACAGTCACAACCATAACCCTACAGTCACAACCATATCCTTACAGTCACAACCATATCCTTACAATCACAATCATATCCTTACAGTCACAACCATATCCTTACAGTCACAATCATATCCTTACAGTCACAACCATATCCTTACAGTCACAATCATAACCTTACAGTCACAACCATAACCCTACAGTCACAACCATATCCTTAGTCACAATCATAACCCTACAGTCATAACCATAACCTTACAGTCATAACCATATCCTTACAGTCACAACCATATCCTTACAGTCACAATCATATCCTTACAGTCACAATCATATCCTTACAGTCACAGTCACAATCATATCCTTACAGTCACAACCATATCCTTACAGTCACAACCATATCCTTACAGTCACAATCATATCCTTACAGTCACAATCATATCCTTACAGTCACAACCATATCCTTACAGTCACAACCATATCCTTACAGTCACAATCATATCCTTACAGTCACAACCATATCCTTACAGTCACAATCATATCCTTACAGTCACAACCATAACCCTACAGTCACAACCATAACCCTACAGTCACAACCATATCCTTAGTCACAATCATAACCTTACAGTCACAATCATATCCATACAGTCAAAAACCTACCTTAGCAAATTCAATCTTGAGTGTACAGCAGCCTGAGTAGACGTCCGCTCCATTCAATGCCTCCTTTGCTCTCTTTGCACAGGGAGTATTTTCAAATGTATACTTATTAAGGAATCTTCATCAAAGTACAAAATAAAGGATCAAATAGACGTAACAATTTCATCTCCATTTATGGTCGATCTCAAGGCAAATAAAAAAATAGTAAAAGCAAAATCAAAACAGAACAGCCATTTAGTAACGTTTAAATCCTAAAAGTTAGACTCCATGTCTTAGTATCAGTTGTTGATAATTAACATAGCATTGAAAGAGAAACAAGTAAGAACATTTAGTAAGCAAACTGGTAATAGAAAAAATTCACAACCATCTGAGAAATACCAAAATTATAATCAGACAAGGATATTCAACCATAGCCTGCACCCCATGCTTCTTGAAGATGACGATCCTCTGTACATCTCCATAGGGACTGCAGATGGTATGCATCACATCCTGTAAATATGAAATACATGTTTTAGATGAGGTATAATTTCTTTTATTAAATACACAGATATAGCTTCAGGGATAACTCACTACCGGTAACAGTAAACCTAAGCCAGACATCACTCACCACTGTTATAGGGTACTCAGGTCTCAGGATAGTAAACAGCAGGATATGATTGCCAATCCTATTGTCATCAGGACCACTGGAAATACAGAAGCATTCATGGATTTGAAATATTATTATAACACAAATTTAAAAGATGAAAACCCCATATAGTTAACCCCATTCCAAGGGTCAAAATGACCTAATTTAAAGGATGACTGCCATCTCCAGAAAATGGTTCAGACTTATGTTAAAATCTGCACAAGGATCTAGATTAGTGTTTTAAAAGCAAGTTTATGTATGCTGAAGGCACATGACAATGTACAAAACAAAATGTCATCAAGGCCCTTCAGTTCAGATGACCTAAACAAGAGATCCATGGGGCCTTAACTGTCATCAAACTAAAAGGAATTCAAAATATTTTAGCAATATAGGCCAAAGACACTCTGCAGTTCATTTCTCAACAGTCTTGAGAGTGTTTACAGCATATGACTGCAACTATGTGTCGCTGAAAATCTGTTGAAATATTTCCACCAATCAGAAAGCTAGGATTGGTAGTAACAGATTTTTCCAAATTTGGACTAAAAACTGATTCCCTGTCAACCTAGGATGCTTTTGACAACTGATTGGGATAAAATCCTTATATAAAAGTTAATGCAGTTACTTTTCAATCAAGGTATACACAAAATTAGAAGCTAAGTAGAAAATTTGTGAAATTTCTGTCAAATGCTGAAGTTCACCTATATTTCATCACATTTTTTTCATTTTTCATCTAGACTGAAATATCAAAAACACTTCATTTTCCACAGCTTTTGAATTTTGAGCCCTTTGAATATTTTGGTTGCTGTAGTACTAGAAATTGGAACTATTTGGATCAGGAATATTTCCAAATGTAATTCTGTTTATATTAAGAGGCAATTACTCACAATTCATATTACAATGTTATTACAGTTAACTAAAGAGTTTCACAATTTATCTCTGTTAATCAACATTATCAACACAGATGTTGAGAGGCAGCAGTTGCCTAGTTATTGATTAATGTGCTATATTAAGATGGGTGAAATACAAACCCTGGTCTCTGGATACGCTGGCTGGTGGAAAAATTGAACAGGGCAACCTGGGACCGCACATAGATAGCATTGTTCTGGAAAATAACATTGTACATGTATTTATTTCTATCTAACAACACTATGTCCTAAACACAACAGGCCTTACCTTACAAAAATATAATGAATGTCTTTCAGGATTTTCTGTCTATGTTGCAGTGCAAAATAAACCAAAGGGTTAAAGAACCATTATGAAGACAGTAAATGACAAAAAATTATAGAAGTAATGTAATTTCATAGTATGTTGACAATACTTTGCTTTTAACTATAAGAAGCTTCTTCAGGGCATCCTTTTTGCCAATCAGTAAATGAAAATCAATTAGCTCAAATGGGATAATTATATACATGTTTAAAAGAGTGTACTTACTGCTGCATAGGTGACACAGCTTGTTGCACTTTCAATGTCCTGTAAATCAGCAAAGAGTCTGTTATTACACAGTACATTGGTAACAGTAACTTTGTAAATACATTTCCCTGCTTGGATTAATTCATAGTCACTGTAAATTCTCACTGACAGCCAAGTCATGCTGACACTAACAGAACTTGCAAATGATTTTCATAACCTTTCCAATGTTTACATTGACTTTTACATACATATACTCACATACAGAAGGTGTTTGTTTACATTGACTTTTACATACATATACTCACTCACATACAGAAGGTGTTTGTTTACATTGACTTTTACATACATATACTCACTCACACACAGAAGGTGTTTGTTTACATTGACTTTTACATACATATACTCACTCACATACAGAAGGTGTTTGTTTACACTGACTTTTACATACATATACTCACATACAGAAGGTGTTTGTTTACATTGACTTTTACATACATATACTCACATACAGAAGGTGTTTGTTTACACTGACTTTTACATACATATACTCACATACAGAAGGTGTTTGTTTACATTGACTTTTACATACATATACTCAGTCACAGCAGGTGTTTATGTTCATGAACTCACTACTCAATTAAAACCAAAAGTAAATACTCACTTCAAACTCAATTAAAGCTTGCCTCTTCTTTGGCATCATGATCACATAGCTGAAAACAATTTCAACATTAAAATGTTTACTTGTAAAATTTCTAAACATGAATGATTTGTTATCAGATTGGACACTGTACAATAATAAGGACCAAGGATAACCTACGATTAAAACTCGAGAATGATCAATCAGACGTTAAATTTTTCTTAAATGATATCAAGAGGCCAAAAGGGCCTGCATCACTCACCTAGCTAATTTAGCTAACCAGTCATTCAATAATTAATTTCAAATATGACAAATAAATTCTGAAATCATTTCCCTATTGGGCCCTAGCCTTGGTCTAACAGAAGTTAGATTCGCTATGTATTCCCCATTTACTCAAGAATGCTGAGCACAATAATTCTGATAGAAGAAGTAGGATTTCAAAGAACTTTCTCTATCTCCCATATTGGGCCCCATCCCTCTGGCCCCGGTGGGCAAAGACCCACCAGACAAAAGACCATCACCTTACGTCACTTGAGACTTAGTCTCAGGTGACTTAAAATATTGATGGATAGACGCTGGACAACAGCTGGAAAACAGAGGCCATGCCATCATGTAAGCTCACACGTCCTTTGGACCAGTTGAGCTAGAGAGGTCCATAGGGCCTGTATTGCTCATCAGACTTTGCTTGGCTGAAATTGCTTCATTAAAACTAATGGAAAAGGAATTTCAAATATCTAAGCACACAATACAAAACATATCTATTTCCCTATTGGAACCCCACTCTCTATCATAAGAGGGTCAGCAAAACCATTCATCCTTCAGACTTAATCATTCCTACAGGAGAAGTAGGAATTTAAAGAATTTGTCCTGTTAACAATATTTGCCCCACCCGGCCCCCTCCCATCTCAGAAAGCCAAGACCCGTCATCTCGATAAATATTTATTCCCTTTTACCCAACAATGCTTCATTCCAAATTTGACCGAAATCTAACCATTAGGATTTGAAAGAATTTGCAAAATTTCCCCTTTTAGGCCCGGCCCCTCAGGCCCGGGACCCACCAGGACAACAGATGCCACAGTATATCAACAAGTCACTTGACCTTTCATGCTAGATGAGCTAAATATGTGAAGTCACTTACACTTTTGTTTTTTATTCAACACGCTGAAGACCTATTTGTTAAAAGTATACAAAATTACCTCACGGTGCCGAAGTGCTGTACAGCATGGACAAGGTCGGTCTCCACAGTGGCTTCAGACAGGTTCCTAACGTGGACCACAGGAGATGGACTTGGTTTGTGAGGATCTTCCTGTAACACCAATAAAAAATGGATAGTTGAATGGCTCTATTATTCTAAGCTTTTATGGTAAAATTGCACTAAGCAAATACAAATGTGGGAAAATGAAATTTTAGCTTTTGTCCAAGTACTAGTTCGGCAAGGAGGGTCACAACTACTAAAACCATCTACCTAAAAACAAATACACTTACTAAAAATCAAACTCCAAATTGGCTACGTTTTATTGATTCACTTGAAATGTCAAGATGTCAGCTATTAACGCTAAACACAACCTAACACAATCTTTACTTTTTTGTACTGATTTGCTGCTGGAATGTTAGAAATCAATTCATGTTAATCCATTCATTTTTTTTTCTCTGCTATCATTTGTTATATTTTACAATGCAGGTATCCTTTTAAGACACTTTGTTGACTGTTGGTGATAGCCAAAATGTTAACATGCTTCAAGACTGGGTCTGACCACAAAATCAAATTACTTCCTTAAGCTTGAATTTAATTCTTAAATTCAACAGCTGTAAGATTTTACAAAAATTAAAAAAAAAAAAAAAAAACCAAAAAAAAAACCGATAAATTAGTCATGATAAATAAGATAGATTATCACTGAGAGCAGAAATCCACCAGAATACTATCTTAATCTGCACCCCCTAGCTAGAGTTATATATTGGAATTGTCAATCACTGATACCCTAAACAGAATATTAGACTTGTGAGCATCAATGCTTGATAATAATAACATAACAAGAGTCAGAGGACAGCATATTTCCTACAAGGACAACAAGAGGACAATAGGGCTTGTATTGCTCACTGTGTTTAGTTTGCTGAAAAATTTGTTTATTTCATTGTCATGAATTTACTGACAAAAGGAATTGGACAACAGACATAACACCAGTCAGATAATGAATGAATAAAGTAATAAGTACTGACAGCTTTAGTGGTTATGATATCACTCAATGATTGAGAAACAGTCTGACAGTCAACTTGCATGGAATGCAACACAGACACTTTGTCGACACATATTGCATGGAATGCAGTACAGACACTTTGTTGACACATATTGCATGGAATGCAACACAGACACTTTGTCGACACATATTGCATGGAATGCAGTACAGACACTTTGTCGCCACATATTGCATGGAATGCAGTACAGACACTTTGTCCACATATTGCATGGAATGCTGCAGACACTTTGTCTATACATATTGCATGGAATGCAGCACAGACACTTTGTCTATACATATTGCATGGAATGCAGTACAGACACTTTGTCGCCACATATTGCGTGGAATGCAGCACAGACACTTTGTCTATACATATTGCATGGAATGCAGCAGACACTTTGTCTATACATATTGCATGGAATGCAGTACAGACACTTTGTCTATACATATTTACTATCTTGTACTGAATCCATACAGTTAAATGAATGAGATATTGACTCTAAAACAGACATCTGGTATCAGTAATTAATGGAATTATTCATAACTGTATTGATGGCAACTATTTCAAAATGTTTTAATGTTTAGAATTTCTGATTGCTCACGTCAGAAAAAGAAGTAAAAAGGAGTTGTCTTTGGTAAGTGAAAGAGAACGATGAAAAGAGAGTGAGAACATTCTTCAACTAGATGACCTCATGTACAGACAGGGCTATTTATTAAGTGGGAATTACATAAATCAGCATTTAAATTACTTACAGAATTTCTTAACTGATAGGAATTTATATTAATTTTCCTGTCTCCACTAGCTTTATATATGGAAATGCACTGGTGTTATTCCAATCAGACATAAGTAATGGAAAGAAGATAATAATATATATTTGAGTTATTGTTGTAAAACATTAAAAAGTCTAATATGATGGAGAGGATATTAATCAGAATTATCAATGATGTAAGGTGGATTTGAAACATAACCAGGAGCAGGAGACACCAATTGTTAAAAATCTTAGAAAATAAATCATTTTGATATTTAGATGACAACACTTTACAAGTGGAAGTAAACCAGACTCTTGCGTATAAGATATAATAACTTGTTCTCTATTTCAAGCCAGTAATAATGTGCATGGACTCTGGGATGTTATTCTCGTCCTGTAATATTTGAACACACTGTATCTACTTATTCTTACAATGGAGGAATGAATGTAACTTCTTTCAAGCAATTTTCTTTCAAGTTTATATTTATATATAGCTATATTTAAGCATTCTAAGTACTGTCAAACTTTTATGTATTGGATCTGGGTGATTCAAAGTTTTAATTGTATCAAAAATTATGGGTGTTCCTAACTTTATTCCTATATATTACTACTAAATTACCCCTTTATGAATCAAAATTTTATGAATCTGAAAAAGCTGCTTTTCATTTTGAGGTGTGTTTTCGTAATTGTGTTTGTTCAGTTTCATTGGGCCCTGCCCATCCTGTCAAAGAGGGCCTAGACCCACTAATTATCCAATTGATTCCCCCTTCACCCAAAGATGCTTCTGACCAAATTTGGAAACAATCCAATCATTCCTACACAAGGAGTAGGATTTTAGCTCTATTTCCCCTAGTGGGCCCCGTCCCTCCCACTTTCTGGGGGCAAGACCCACATTTTACACAATATTTATTTTCTTTCACCATAATATCATTCAGACCAAATTTACACAAAATTCAATCATTCCTACTGGAAGAAATGGATTTAGGATAATTTTCTCCATTTCCCCTATTGGACCCCGTCCCTCCTGCACCAGATGGGGGACTTACTCTGTTAGTAAGGGGTGTAGTGGGCCCTGAATTTGGTACCCTGTACATTGTCTTTGTATGTTCAATATACCGAAATTCATGATCCTTGCTTAATTGACACCAAATGATGGATGGAATGGTGGACGCTGGGTATTTTCTAAAATGAGGTCTCAAAAAATGAAAGCTGAATATTGCATTGGATGATAAGAAAGTAAAGCAACTCTGTACACATACTTAAAGCTTTATGCTCATCCACTCCCTTTTCCAAGGTGGGATTTATACAGTCTATAGATTCTTTCTACTGTAAAAATGTCTTATGCAACAAATCCATCTGTGAAATTAAACAGCTGTTATTGACCATAAAATCAATTTTAAAAGTATTCATTCGTTAAATGGGTCAGAATTGTGATCGGTTTTCCAATGAATAGCATTAAATCAATTTCTAGATAGTTTAAAAATGATCTGCAAACCATCTGTTACATTGATTAACACTGATATGACCACCAATTATTGATCTTTCTTCACACAGCTGTGTAAGATTATAGACCTTCATTGCCTATTTGCTTTTCACTCATAAATCACACTAAACCCATGGATAAGTGGCAATTTTATTTCTCACATTGAAAACATTTTCATTGTGCGGTATATATATGCATATTTCACATGTTGAACAAGATGCAGTGTATTCAATAGAAGCCCGCAGCCGGCGAATCTGACCGTCTATTTTGATGTGGGCGCAGGCTATTTTAATTTCAGAGATAATGAAAAATATCCTCCTACCCGATTTAAAATGTATTCATTGTTAATGCATCATTAACCTTCGAGAATGCAAGTTTATTCAAATCGAGAGTGTGAGCCTCTTCCTCATCCTGCTGCACATGTCCGAAATCTGCCAGATTTGGAGCCAAATATTCCTAATGCAAAATAGTATCTTTTTTCTCCCAATTTAGACCCTAAGTTTCCCAATTTTAAGGAAAACGCCACTATTTTTCCCAATTCTAAGGGCCCCGGGCCCCAGTCCCAAAATGGGGTGTGAGATCCCTGGCTTGCCTGATGGAAAATAAGGAATATAAAACATGAAGCAGTCTATTGAAAACTATTTTGGCCAAGGGTTAAAGTGGCCAAAAGTTATGCCTATCCTCTAAAAAGTCTTGAACACACCGTAGATGTGGTCACAGGGCAACACAAAAGTCCCCACTAGCAACAATGACAAAGTTAGGAACTTTTCACAGTTTTTCTGCTTTGTTAAGATAGTCCCAACTCGTGAAATAAAACTGAAGTTCAGTCTGCACAATATATGTTAAAGCACCAAATCTGAAATGAATTTAGCTCTCCTTGCAATTTTGTTTTACTATTTCCCAGTAGAGTTTAACAAGCGTCTTCAATATTTGTGTAATCACAACCAGTAATAGTGTCATGATTGAATGGCCTGATCCACCATTCATAAAAATTTCTTCACACCAGCCTTGGACAATATCCTTGTAAGGGACATGTACTAAAATTGTTACTGCTCCACTTATCAATATGTAACACTAGCAAACATTTGACAGAAGTTATACTTACTAAAGTATCATTCAATTAACACTGTATTTAGAAATCAACTAATTTGACTCATTGAATAGTTTGTGTTCTCTGTCTTATTACTGTCCACTTTTTACTGAATACCAATTCTATGCACAGGTGTAGAAACTAGATAGCAACAACCAATCAACTTTAAGGGCAGGAAAGGTCACATCAGCCACTCTATGTTACAGAGTCTGTCACACACATATCTTGATATTTGACTGATAAAATAGGTTTATACTACATAGTATTGTACCATGTAGTTAAGTATAAGATACTTATTTCAACTATCAATGGTACAAAAGTAGGATTCTTGATATTTTCAACATAAAAAATCCCCCTTTTTTGTCAGCACCCTTTCCTTTTCAAAACCTATCTGGAACACTGTTAGTATTGCTTCAGTATCAAAATTAAATGTACCATACAACTATCATACATCAATTGAAAACAAAAAGAAGCAAAACAATCGTTCCAAGAGCAACAGTATTGTAATCAAGCAACTGTCACTAACCAATGTTCCCAATCATGAACATTGAAATCTTAACCGATTCCCAACATTACCTACATGACAGTAGCATGTTTTGAGGTTATAGGACACTTTGTCCAAAAAACAAACTCAAAACAGTTAACTCTGGTACTTCAAATCAAGAGAGTCCAAAAGTCACATTAAGGTATCAGAATTTTTAATTTACATGGCCAATCTGAATACGCTTTGTATGTCTATCAAAACGTTTCTGAGAACTACATTGTTAGCCTATTGTCTGTAGCTCTGAAATTTAAAAGCAGCCATCTTGGATAATGTTGACTTGGACTAACGCGTGTACAATTTCTTAGTGTATGTGATAGCTGGTTGAATTGAATCACACAGACATTAAATGAAGTTTCTGTACTACAAAGTGTAAACGTTTAATACTATTATGCATCATGCAACAAATACGTCTAGATTCAGAAGAGTACACATTTTAAATAAAACTTTAAAAAGTACACCGCTTTCCCCCACGAGATTAGGCCCATAACGACATACTTTTGACACATACGAAACCTATTTGAAGATAAAATTTAAAGACACATGAAAATGGTTTTGAAACAAAACCATCTGACTACGTAAAATCGATAAACTTGTATGCATGAAGGCAAACCGGAAAAACCCGTTTAAATCAAGACCCACGCTGTCAGACCGGCCTGGCGAAAACAGGAATTTCATGATATAGGCATCATCGATATGCACACAATATGCAATATTACTAAACTTAAATGTATATACATTGCAAAAATAGAAATACAAACCCTTTCTCCCCTTCCATCTTCAGTTCTTTGTCGTTTTGAGATGTGACCGTCGTATCCCGATGCCATGTCCATTTTGTCAGAGTGAGGCTAAGCTTCCAAGTGACGCAGATGACCTGACGCGCTCGCTATCGTAATCAAAGTACTGGAAGTACTGGGGACATGAACGACAGAGAGATATTTAACTGTTAGCGATGTGAATGCTGCTCATGCTGTAAAGTTCGAACGAGCTAAAGAGTTCAGACATCATTTAAAACATATAAATGTAATAGTTACAAGGATAAACTTGACAATATATATACAAATTCAGTATTCCGATATATTAATTTCATCACAAATATTAAATATTGTTAATCTATGTGAAATCTTGTTAGTTTATTGGCACATCCTTAGACCATTGCGATTAGATGATGATGTCAATAAAATATTTTAACAAACTGCGTGGATAACAATAAACAGAGTGGAACTTTTATGAACTGTGCTGTCCACTATATATACTAAAAGGATAAAGAAACGCAGGGTGAACTTTAAACCAGAAATTAAATATGATATCGGGCTTCATTTAAAACGAAATTTTGTATACTTACAGATAAGTTAAAGCTTAAAAATTTCCAAAGTCTGTATTTTGCATCTGACAATTGGTTTAGAGGTACTAGCGATTAAATTGAATGGACCCATAGGATTTTGAAATTGAACTGAGTCATCAATATCTTGTGTGTCCGCCGTTTGCTGTGGTCACGGCCCTTATTCTTCTGGTCATAGAGTTCATGAGAGCGTTAATCCGTGTTATGGGGATGTTGTCCCACTCTTCAATCAGAGCTCTGGTCAACTGCTCTCGAGTAGCAGGGGGTGGCTGGCGCTTTCGAACCTGTCTATCCAACTGGTCCCAAAGATGCTCGATCGGGGACAAATCAGGGCTATATAGCGGCCAATCTAGTGATTGGTTGTTGTTGGCTGTAAGAAAGGGATAACATGGGGTAGGAGGATCTCATCTCTATACTTAGCTGCTGTTAAATTGCCATCAATAACAACCAATTGTGATTTTAACCCGTGTGAGATTCCTCCCCACACTATCACTGAACCGCCCCCAAACCTATCCCTCTCTACAACGCAAGCGTCCGTAAAACGTTCGCCACGACGTCGGTAGACACGTTGAAGACCGTCAGATCGATAAAGACAGAATCGAGACTCCTCCGTGAAGAAAACTTGTCTCCACTGCCTCAGTGGAAACCGTCGTGGGGCATGTGCAGCGACCTAGGCCATACGTTGCTGACGTCGAGCAGGGGTAAGGTGTGGACCTACGTAGGGGCGACGTGCTCTTACACCAACTTCTCGTAATCGATTCCTAACAGTTTTTGAACTTATAGGACGCCCATGATTTCCACGAACATTAAGTGCACTCTCAACGGCAGTAAGGCGCCGATTACGCACATGAGAGACGACGATATAGCGATCCTGACGTCGTGACGTTACGCGCGGACGTCCTGACCTAGGTCGATCGGCCAATCGCCCAGTTTCCCGAAGACGTCTTACAAGACGTTCTATGGTGGAAACATTAACACCAAAGTGCCTAGCAACCTGATTTTGCAGCTGTCCTTGCATCAGCATCTGAATGGCCTGGCCTTTCTGAACTTCTGTGAGTCGTGCCATTCTTAAAACGAATCAAAGTCTCAATTAATTTTAGGGAAGCAGTTGGTCTGTATAAAGACTAACGAAGAGTGACTTGACCAACGCTGCATGAGACCAGAACAACAAGGTGCACTAGATTCTTGTTTTTTCCTTCCTCCATTTACCTGAGCTGCGCACTGTACCGTGACTAAATTTTCGATACATGGCAAGGTGTAATATGACCTAATTACTCAATCCACTAAGTTCCAATTTATTTGGAGAACGCGTTTTCAAAATATCGGAATAAATATTACCCTGCGTTTCTTTATCCTTTCAGTATATATATGGGTAGATCAAGTTTTCCTATAACATGGAGAAAGTAATGACAGTGACGTATAATACAGTCCATGGTCAGCGGCGTACCGTGACTTGATTATATGTGTACGCAAACTTTGAGCGCCGAAGGCGCAACCACGCTAGAGGGATCCGGGGGCATGCTCCCCCGGAAAATTTTGAAATCTATGTGCTTCAAAACGGCTTTTCCTGCATTTTGAGACAGATATACAATACCTTCTCGTGTGAAATTTTTTATACGAATTGGAGCTTAATTACAAATTATACTTTTTTTTATTTTAAAATAATTTTTGTGACCAATTCATGTGTACGCACTTGCGTTTTTGCGTATAGGGCGGTACGCCACTGATGGTATTGATGTGTCTATTTTTTTAGGTCTTATCACTTGATCATACCCTGGATACAACACCAGGCTGTAGGTTAACTGAGCCGTTTGTTCATCATACGTCATCCCTTAACTTTTCATATTTTTATCTTCTCCCGAACCGCTTAGCCTATGCAAAACAAATGTGATCACTGGCATCAGTACTCTCAGGGATAAAATTTGTGTTTCCCGTCATATGGGGTTTACTGTGTGGGCGAAATAACAGTGAAAACATGTTATTTGAAGTATTCTCCTAGAGACAATAATTTCTTTATCTAGTATCTGATACGGCTTTGATGTAAAAGTGTAGCTCGTGCAGAATAGTCATGTGGTCTCTTGATGCAACATTTAGTCTCCAGGGAAGGAGGTTTTTTCTTTTTTTGACGAAGCCAACATACCGGAATAACAATTAAATTCCAGTTCGTTTGAAAACAGTCAACTTTTTGTTTAGTAATAAACCTTTGAACTGTTTTAGGAAGCAATGCAAATATTTTGTTCGCCAACTTGTGTGATCACCTGGTCAAAGGCCATCAACATTTTTCTTTAAAATCTTCAATATTTTGTATTGGTAGCAAATAACAGTGCTAGTGATGTAAATATATTAGTTTAAAGTCACAGAATCAAAACTCGGCGACACGTAGAAATAGTAAACTGCCAATGTTCCTGGAATCCGTTACATATTTTTTATCTATTTTATTTTGTATTTAGCGAATCTATATTTTTTATAGTATAAAACATCTTTGAGTGCCATATTCTGGTTATGTCACAGGGGCATTCCGGTTTAAGGTTTTTGGATAACCCGACTACCCTGAGAAAAACACCTATTGGCATTGGGATATAAACTCGCTTCCGTTTCTCAAATATCACAGAGAAATCTTGATTTTGCCACTAAATAGTTGATCAATTTCAGTTAATGATCCTATGTCTGTCTCATTCATTACTTGCTGTGAATGAGCAATACGACTGCAATGTCAAATGAATTATGAATATCGAAGATTTTCTGCCAACCATTCCGTCCTAAAATTATAAGGAAACAAAGATGCTTATACTGAATGCAGTTTCTAGGAAAATCCTCCTTTTTGTTTGGATGATAGATAGAGGTACGTTCACACCTACATTAAAGTATGTGTTTTATGGGGGAAAAACGAAACTTTTTAGCAGGATGAAAATTTAATACTGATAAAAAAGGGGCAAAGACTGATATTCCATGACCAATGCTTTCTATTTCACCAGTAAATGAAGTATGCAAATTGCTTCTGTATTCATTGATATGAAGTACGTTATTAGTAAGTGTAATTTGTGTGATTATTGATACCGGAACTTAGACTGGACTTCTATATATTCTGAAGAGCGTGCAGAAATAATTCAACTCGCCGTCTGGGATTCGACTCCTGGAAGGACGTGAAAAGGTAAGGGTCACCTGACAGACCACGTGGGTTTCCCCCGGTTACTCCGGTTTCCTCCCACAAAAAGACCCCTCGCGCGCTTACATCCGGGCCAACAAGAATGATTAGTATAAGTTGAAATAACTTGAATTTCGTATCTTTTGACATGTCCTTATTTTCTTAGTTGTTTTCAACCCGTGATATTTACTAATTCTATTGGTGAGGCTATTCACGTCATTGTTTTTTCTTTCATTTGAACTTGTGCCCGATCCTCTTGTCAATGATTTGGCAAATACACCTTAAACCAACAAAACAAACAAACAAACAAAACAAAAAAAACATGAGTACGTACGAAAGTTTTCCAGACTTTTTTCAGTAATGCTTTGAGTTATCAAAATGAAATTTGGCATATGGCTTTTTGTTGCAAGGGTAAAGATTAAGTTCGATTCCCGGCTGTCTGTGACCCTTTTGGCAGAGTTATGCCCCTTTCAAATAGAGAAAATTTCTTGGAAATATTGTTTTCCGGACTTTTTTGGCTTATGCTTTGAGTTATCGAAATGAAATTTGGTATATGGCTTCTTGTTGCTAGGGTACAGACTACGATTGATTCCTGGCTATCTGTGACCCTTATTGGCTGTTATGCCCCTTTGAACTTGGAAAATTTCTCAGGAATATTGCTTTGCGAAGTTTTCCCTTTATGCTTCAAGTTATAGAAATGAAATTTGGTATTGCAACTTTATGGTTGATCGTTGCAAATCCAGTTCAATTTCTGGGTGACCGTGACACTTTATGCAGGTGTCACATACAGTTCCGAGGAACTCTTGTTGCTATATTTTATCTACACTCATATGGTGCATATTTTGTCAATGGAACAGAACATCAAGAGGAAAGAGACAAGAAGTTCAGAAAAAGATTTAGCTGGGATGTAATCAATAGACGTAATTTACAATGGTGGGGGTCAAGGTCCCTGCTGGAGCTCTTGTCTACGATGTGATATGTAATCAATACGTATAATGCTTATTGTTTATATGTGATACACTTTGTATTGCAGGTCCAGATAAAAGAACACTTATCACCAAGCCTAAAAGATACAAGAATGACAATTAGGATTCCTGTTATGGAAATGGAAGATTTTAAGCCAATGTAAAATAATGCAAGAATATAAAGGTCACCAAGCACAGGGTTGTTTATAATATCAAAAATTGACAGGACATGGAGAAACTTTTGGGAGTTGGATGGGATTACAGAATCATAAATGAACTGGGTGACAATTATTTTGTGAAAACAGAGCCTGTCAAATTTTGGCTTTACAGAAGAAAACCATTCAAGGAATACATATTATACTCTGATCACAAACAAGAATCAGA